TGAAAGATATATGTTTTTACTTGATTAATATTGCTTCTTCACCATGTTGATACTAAGCAAAGCCTCCTCATATTTCCTAGTCCAGTTCATATTTGCAGTTATACCCTAGATCCGAAAACAAAAACTCATACACTCACACACACCACACTAGAGCACATTCTGGAAGGTTACAGCTAAATAACATGTCGACTGAGGACTAAATGCGACTTTGTGTAGCCGCGTGGTTGACCCGGTAGCACCATCTTCAAACTGCATAACTGCACCGTGATTCTGTACAGGATACGCAGAGTCTTTTCCAGCAAGAAACTTGCTTTTTTTGTTAGCATCTGCAACTTCTCCTCCATGCGCATGATTTGCCGGAGTTTAGCGCGTAGTAGCTCCTTACACAACCGCGAGTTATGAGCTCGAGAGTAGCGATGACGTGTTTGCGTGGCGGGCGAAAGCGCTGCAGTCGTTATATCTTCACTATTAGTGCTGATGGAAGCAGCTGCCTCTGTCTCATGTGTGTCTCCACAGATGCGTCTACAAATTTTGCCAAAGTATTATCGTAACTTTCACGGATTCTGAAATATATCGCGAATACTTTACGATCAACCCGTTTCTTGTGGTACTCGTTGCGGCGCTGCAAACCTATTGTGTTACTGCAAGACCTGTCGTGACGTTGTTGTTGTGTTGCAGGAATACCGTTCGGTTCAAGTAGTTGTCCAGGTACTTAGGCCACTTCGACTGAGGACTGCGGTAGGCTACAGTGACTATGAAGGATCATTTCAGGTTCTATAACAGCAAAAAAAAAAAAACTTGTACTTCCTCCGTCCGAAAATATAAGGCAGTTCGTCCAAAAATTTCATTTTTTAACTCAAATCATCGTATGAAGGTTCATTAATTGGCTAATAGTAAGGCGCTCCGCGTAATGATGCGATTGGTGGGTTTCACGAATAAATTCGTAGGCTAGAAGTAAAGTTACGATCTCCGGAACAGTGCCACATCATCCCACTCTACCTTTTTCCTTCGTCGTTCCTACCCATGGCTATTCCCACCGCTCTAAAGTGCCGCACCCGCAAGAACCTTACCCCAGCCGAGCGTGCTGAAGTTATCGCCTACCTCCTGAGTGTTAGTACCG